TAATAATAATAATAATAATAATAATAATAGTAATAATAATAACTTTATTTAGAAAGTGCTTTCAAACAAAGTGCTGAACAGTTACAAAAAGATAAAAATCAATATAAAAAGTTGTAAGAACAAATAAAACATTGAAAAAGGATAAAATTCAAATGTAAAATTTAAGACTCATAGACAAGATGTACAGGTGTTTCTTTAGCTTTAAAAACTAAAAATAATATTGGATTAGCTTATAATTGGTGCTTGAGAGCTGTGCAAAAAGAGCAGAGAAAGAAGATCAGGGATGGGAAAAGATGGGAACTACTGAAGTCCTTCTTGGACACAGTTGTGGCTTCAGCCATCTGTTATGGCATCGTTTGTTGGAGCTCATGAAGAAGGCCAGCTCTGTGCTGGATGCCCCCTCGACCCGGTGCATGTGGTGGGAGACAGAAGAACTCTGGCTAAAATAACATGACAGAGAACATCTACCATGTTGTGCATGGAACTGTAGCTGACCTGCAGAGCTCCTTCACTAACAGACTGCTGCATCCTAAATGTACAGAAGAGCGCTACCGCAGATCATTCCTCCCATCAGCTGTTAGACTCTATAACCAACACTGCTCCCAACAATCTCGTGAAGCATCCATGCTGTGTTTGCACATTAACCAACTCTGTTCCTGAGTTGATGAGTCATCATATCATGATTTTACATGATATTGCCCCTGTACAAGAGAATGTGGCTTGGAGAAGATTGCTTCAGTCTCAAATCATGGTGGTTTAGGTTGAGCAGTTGCTCTTATTGAAATTATTCTGGCTTGCATTGAGATTATACAGTTTGTAACGTTGGGGAGGCCCCATCCTCCTTGTTCTTTGGGTAGCTGTGAAACATCTAATTTAATTTTAGATTTCCTGCCAGCCCATATGAAGTCAGACAGAGCTTTATTTATTTCTTTAATCTTACTTCTCTTCAGAGATATAAAAGCATGGACAGAGGGTAAATAATTTTGGGAAGAATTATCATCTTGGTAAGATTGACTCTGCCAAGAAAGGATACAGGAAGTCTCTTACAGCCCATCATTTTATCTTTATGTGTTCATGGGGTCAACATTTTCAGAATAAAGTGGACTAAGTTTAGGTGTTATTTTAACTCCAAGATATGTAAATCCTTCTGGTGCCCAGCGAAAGGCTTTAACAAAGTCAGGTTCAAGTTCAACTTTATTTGCCATTTGCAGTAGAGAAACTACATTAGAAAAACAGTGGCAAGAGCTCACGTCTGCACCATGCACACATAGACAATACAAAGAATTATAAAAATTTAAAAAAGTAAAACAATTAAAATAAGAAACTGAACACAGAACCCCTCATGTGCAGCCATCGATTCACAGAACATATTCTTAATTACATTCTGGCATAATTTCATATTTTGTAAAATTAACCTTGTATCCAGAAATTTCTTTAAAGGGCCAAAATTATGTGTTTCTCAGACATATATTTAAATACTATACCATAATAA